AACTGGTTTTTATTCTACCTTAATTTAATCTTATTTAAAAAGGATGTTTCTTCATCCTTTTAATCATCGTACACATTTAACTTGTCTTTCTCATCTAGTATATTTTCATTGTGATTACTTTTACCCCTAAACTCTCACACCTTCCCTTTTTCACACAATGTGACACAATCTTTCTGCTCTAGAAAGATTAATCTGTATCATCCCATTGATGGTAATTTGTATCATCCCACTGATTTTCCTGTTCTTCCTCACTTGTTGGCATTTACAGTGCAGGTGTCACAGTTACCCAGTTTGGTACCTCTGGAACAACAGTGGAACTTGTGAGATGTAGGAATCAGGATTTAATGGAGACAGAATATCTCAGCTCCAGTATTTTTAAAGAATGTAGGTGCAAACCCAGGGAGTTGCGTAGTTTGGATAACTCTTGAAGCACTTCTGCTGACAAGGACAGTCTGTCATGCTGACAGGATATAAACTCTGTGTGTACTGTTGACTTGTGTTGATTTTGTTTTATGAAATTAAGCTCTCTAATGCATAGTTGAGCCTTTGAAAAAACAAGGTTGAAAGAAGATGACTATATACAGTAGCATTGTTTATGAAAAGAAATTGAGATTTAAGTGTGGCAGGCAGGGTATTTTGCTTGTACTGGAAACCTAATGCCTTCCAAAGTTTATTACCTAATAAATGAAATTTTACATTTAAAGGATGTTTAGGTGCTCAGATCTCTATATTGCCCCTTGTCTTTAAAAAATAGGTTATACTTATTCTTATCTTTGCTCTTCTTACAGAGTGGAACAACAGCCTATTTGCTCCTATTTGGAAAAGATCATTTCAAAAAACTTGGATCTGATGGAGAAAAAACTAATGGACTATATTGACTGCCAAATCCAGGCTCTTCAGACACACATAGACAATAAAATGTTTCTCTTGATGGACTTGGTTCAGAACTCAAAACCAAACAAAATTTCTGAAGCACACTATGATTCTAATGAGGGGTTTTCTAATGGAGAGAGGTAGAGGGTTTCAATGTGAATACCTTGAGTAATTACACTTTACAAAGCTTAGTATTTATGCAGTTAAAACTATGAAGAACCTCAGTGTTGTTAACTTTCATTTTGTTACTGTAATTCTATCCACTGTTGTACACACTTGTTAGTTTTATGAAAGATCTTAAGAATATGGTTTTTTTTCCTAAATGTAACAGTTTTGTATGCCCTTTGAGGCTTATTTATTTAAAGAGCATTGCTAGAAGCTGTATGAACAGTCAGTCCCCCAGCTCCAGCTTGAACAGTGGAGTACTCTAAATAAACTGAGTTACTGCTTATCTTTTTACCTACATGTAGTCAGCTCGCTTTTTTGTATTGTGTTAATTTTTGATATGAAATGTGTTATCAGTAGAAAAGAATGCAGTTTGTTCTTTTGCTTTGTTGGCACTCCCGTTGAAGACATTTATTGTTCCATCTCTAAAAGGAAGTTTGGATTGTCATTGCCTAATTTGGGCAGTTTATGGAGCTGTCTTTAGAGAGCTGGGCAAGTGTGAACCCAGCCTGGGCTCTTTGGAAGCCTTGATAGCTGTACAGGCACCTTAATTAGGAACCCAGGCTCCTTAAGAGACACCTAAACCAAGACTCTGATACTTCTTTCCCTCCTAAACTAGCTGAGTGTGCAGAACAAGTGAAATAAATGTGAACTCAGCAGACTTTATCCAGGTTTCATTATCCTGAGGAGTGCAAATACTTCATTAAGGTTCCTCTCAAGTGGCTGTTGTACCTGACTGGGTGTGCTGGGGTAGCCCCAGAAGACCAGAGGAGTTTTCCTTACTGCATCACACTTCCTTTAACCCATTGGGATCAGTCTTGCTGTCATTTGGGGAGGTAGGAATGTGACTCCAAATCTCTCTCCTGTGGAAGGCTGAGTTTCAAACTTTGTTCTGTTTCTTGCTCTTGGATTCTGGGGTGCACCATTTAAATGGGAGGGTGTAGGGACTTCATGGTCAGCCCCTCAGCTGGGTGCACAAACATTTTTGGCAAAAGCTATCGATGGGGAAGCAAGTGTTGACTCAAAAGCAGCATAAGCATGTACAAGCCAGCATCTTTATTTACTCTGCCTGGTATTTTCTGCTCCAGGAAAAGTGATGCTTTTTCAAAGACTGTCAGATCCTGATGGCAGTAAACCCACAGAAGGAGATTTGGAAGAGAGGATAATCTGCTCTGAAAAGACTTCTTGCAGTTGTCCCTGGTCTTGACTCCTGCCAGGTGCAGTTTAAAAGTGATTCAAAAAGAGATTTTTAGATTTTTTATTTTTAAGACAAAAAGATCTTAATTATCTTGTACTTCATACCTGTACAGGTATAAATTCTGTCCTGAGGTAAACACACTTTTTCAACTCAGTGACTTGAGATAAAGTATTAAATTGAGACAGTTTTGAGTTTAGATTTTTTATTTGGTAACAAAAGAAGTTGAAATGAATTTCTGAGTGTTGTTGAGTTCCAATGCTGTTAATTTAATAATTTTTTATCTTTTCCCTCTTCCCTCTCTGGGTGACAAGTATGAATAGCAGTTGACACTAAAGAGAAATCTCCAGAAGTAGTTAAAATGACCTCTGGGCATTTTGATAGCTGTATCCTCCCTGGTGTTTGTGATGTTTTAGCATCACAGCTACCACAATGAGAATGTCTGAAATTAAAACCACAAATGCCAGAGTGTAGAAGTTGTATTGTTGCAATTTGGGTTTTTTTCAGCTTCTACTTCAGTGAGGGATTCTGTGTAGAGAGAAAAATAAAGTGCTTAAAGTTTAGAATACTGTATAATTTAACTGGGAATTATATAAATATTTTTTCAGATATTTTCATTTTACATGATCCACAGAGAGTGCAAATCCTGAACATGAAGTACTGAAGAGTTGTAAAAGTTGGTAATAAAACAATCCTACAGAACATAATGATGTTCAGTTATTTGGTATTGCTGCAGCCAATTTCTGCCAAGCAGTGCTGTCACCATGAGCGAGATTTGAGACATTTGCTGAAGAAAAGTTGGGCAAAAAAAAGCAACTTGTGGTTTCCTATCTGCTCCTCAGTAAAACTCATTCTCTTTTATAATATTTGCACTTGAATATTTGCCCTTGAGTTACAGATGTGTTCACTTCCACACATATGGATGCAAAATCTTTCACTATTGAAATAAATGGGAACATAGCTAAAATGTTGCTAGAGTTCAGAAAGGTTAATATTTTTTTAAAAAAGAGAAAATATTCTAATTAATATTAAGAGCAAGATTAATTCTAAATATTTTCTAGCTCTGGTACCTGAAAGCAAGTGGCCCAATGTGCTTTTCTCAGGTGGAGCTTTGGGCTCCAGAAAAGTGAGAACAAAAGCACAGTGGGAATAGCAATACAAGCTTTTAAAAATAGCTTTTCCATGTTTTGTAATTTCTCTTTGCTCTCAGTACCTGACTACTGTAGATCAGACTGCAAATAGCACCAAAGCTTATTTATCTTACAAACATCTCTGCAGCTCTAATTTAAAGGCATGGTGCTTTTGGTTTCTACTCTCAAGACTGTCCTTTTTATTCCTGTTCTGTGCATGAAGTGGGAAGATTTAACCTGGCCCAGAGTAAGTCAGCTGTGTTTATTATCTAGAGTACCAACTAGAAAACTGAGTGAAGTACACACATACATATACTTATTTTTTTATTTTTTCCCTCTTGAGTGCTCAGCAGCCCTGAGATCTCTTTTCAGGTGGAAGGGACCCACCACAGTGTTGGTTTTTCATGTGTATGGAGGGGTGGCTCTTTTCTGCCTGGAGATGCAGCCTCTGGCACAGCAAGATTGGTGGTGTTGCTGTCACAGATCACAACATGACACTGGAGATAACTGATGGGAAGCTCCTCAGGAACCTGAAGGCTCTAAATTTGAATCTTCCCAAATGCTGGGTAGGTTACCACAGTGTCATCTTTATTGCAGCTGCAAAAGGATGTACAGATCTGTTAAAACAGTCTACTTAGAATCATCATTCTGGCTAAGTGCTGTGAGCTGTAACTGCAGCATTTAAGCAGGGCACTGTTCTTACACATGGCCATACAATGATGTGCATTTTTGCCTTTGCCCAGCATGATGTGGTGCATGTTCTTCCAAAATGGGCAGCACAAACCCCACAGCTGTGCAAGCAGGGCTTCTTCCAGCTTTACTAGAAAATAAAGTCAAGACCTTCTTGAGACACAGCCAGGTGCTTTTCTTCCATTGTAATTTTTTTTTTTTTGACAAAACCATTTTCTTTTATAAGCAAACTGATGTATAATGCATTTGTAATGATACTGTACTTCTAATCTCAGACCTATGCCTTCTTTAAAACAACCCTCTCTGATTTTTAACTCACTTTAAGGACTTTGAATGCAACTGGCTCTTCATCCTGAAATGTACTTACACTGCCTTTGAGTGTGGAGGCATTAAATACATGTTTAAAGATGTTGCACAGGATTTGAATTCCCTTTGGCTTCTGGAAACGCTAAATTTGCATTTATTCTGTGTAGCCTTTTATTTCTCAAACCCACACACATACTTGCAAGGAATTTTCAAATGTTAATGTCCCTTTTGTGCCTGGATGTGAATCTGCAGTGAATGTGTGAGCTGGCATGTGGATCCCTGCCAATCAGTGCTGTAGCCTTCAGAACCCAATGCCCTTTAAATTATTACCTGTGAGAAGCAGAGCACAGGGTTATGAGTGTGGTGGAATTTTGTATGAACTGAGCACAATTAGAACTGAAGGAACATTGAGAGGGAGACGAGGTCTTGATGAGAAAAAACAGGCAGCTGATCCAATTATTTTTTGTCACTGAGAGCATTTACTGAAGTTTAGTCTTTTACAGATCTGCTGTATAAATCCAAAAGATCTGAAATTAAGCAGCCCAAGTTCATTTAAGATTAAATACCTTTAGATTTACACCCACTAGTATATTTTTAGAAATAAGCAGCAGATTTTGGAACACAATGAACAGGTCTAGAGGTGCTCAACATAATGTCATGGTCAGAAGCATCATTACTTGGGGACGACGACAACAACGACTCCGCCACTTGTGCTTCTGGCTCTTCTCCTGGAGCCTGGGAAGGGTTGGGGAGCAGGGAGCCTGTTCACTGGGAAGGGTCTGAAAGAAGGGATCTTGATCCCTGGGAAGGGTCGGGGAAGAGGAATTGGGAATAAGTTCCCTGGGAAGGGTCGGGCAGGAGGAAGAGGGAGTATGTTGCACCCTAATACTTTGCACTGTAGGCACATTCCATTCTTTAAAGGAGCATTGTAACGGAGCTGGACAAGCCTCTGGCCTGATGAAGGGTTATTCCCACAGGTTGGGTCTTTTACACACCTGAAAAAGGAAAAAAAAAACCAAGCTCACTTACAAATTACCGTGTAATGACTGTGACATGCTCACTAAGCCCCTTTGTTTTCTTGGTTGCAAGAAACTTTCTTCCAAAAATGTCCAGCTCTGATGTTAATCACAACTCACAGCACTGAACTCCTGAACAGGGGGTGCCACTGCATGGAATTTGGATGTATGTTGGTGTAATGTGCATCACAACACGTACAAATGTCATACACGTAAAGCACCTTGTGGAATTTTGTCAGTACATATTAAAGCATTATATTATTATTATTTTGTCAATACATATTAAAACATTATAAGCATTAAGTACAGTAAAACATTATAAGCATTAAGTACAGTAATGAGGTAGTGGATTTTTACTGCGCACTCTACTATGGGTCGTGCTTAACCTAAAGGATAGCCCTAGAAAGAAGGATTTTGATTTTTGGAAGCTTAGAGCTGTCCATGAAGAATTCCCCTGGGCAGCCAAGACAACACCAGCATCCCAGCCCCTCTGACATGTATTTGAAACCCTGCCAGCATCATCTGGTGCCATAAATCAATGACTCCAGCAAGAATGGCTCCAGGGACATCTGGATCAACAAACATGCACCAAGAATGTCTGTCTGTTTCCAAGAAATAGTGGTGCTTTGCAAAATTTTAATGTGATTAGTAATTGGAAGTATGGGTATGACTGAGTAGTCAAATCAAGTTGTACCTGAGCATTTGAAGGGTGTAAAAAAATGGTGTGAAATCATGTTTGGGGTATCCCAGCTTGGCTGGAGCATCTCACATGCATGAATAAATATTTACCTTTCCAATGTTATTCCTGGCATCCCAGGTCTCCTTGGCTGGCACAGGCTATTTAGATATTTCAGCAACATCAGCCTCACGTACTTAGGCAGGGGAATGAGCTGTGCTGCAGGGGAAGGAATTGAATGTTGATAAACCAGAGGAAAATACAGAGCAGAATGCAGCTGGTATTTTAATGCATTTTTTTTTACTGCATATGTATTTTAAATACTGGCCTGCTTTGTAAATTTAAATGTGGGCCTGGAATAGCAGCTGAGTGAGGAGGAAATTAATTTCTGTCTCTTTGATGATGTTCCATTAAAAGCTCATTTCTCCCTCCTACAACTATCAACTAACCCCTGGTGTTGTTCTCTCCTGGAAGAGGGGGAGTTTGCCAGGATCATGAGATGTTTCTGCCTATGAGCCCTCCAGAGCACAGGGCACTGGTGGGCAGCAGCTGGCAGGCTATGGAAGGATATTTCAAATAGGTTTTAACTATAAATGATGCAGACCTAGGGCAGCTCATCCCCTTGGCACTCACCACTGAGGTGCCAGCTGTGTATAAGCAGCCTGTGATCCCTGGCTGAGCTGTGGCATTCCCAATCTTTGCCTGCATCCAGCCTCTCCCCCTTGCCCTGCACCTAGATCCCCCCTGCTAGTGAACTGCCAGCCCTTCCCAGATCCCATCCCTCACCCAGAGTATCCTGCCCTTAGGAAGAGAAGTCATTAAAAAGAATAATCAAATACCTTACCTGAGTCTGTAGTTGCTGTATTTATCTTTGGACTGACTTAATGAAAGTACTACAAATGACATATTACTGGCATTAATGGAAACAAGATTTAATTCTGTTTATCCCTCTGTGTGGGGCAATAACTCCATGTTTCAATGTTTGCTTTGCACCTGAAGTTCAGTTTCTTGTGTGTTTTACCAAAGCAGACGAGTGCCTTTTATCAAAGTGTAGCTGACATGGCCAGATTCTAAAAGAAACCCTTGCTCTGCTCTGTGAGCAACTGAGGCAGAATGTTATCAACTAGTGAGCAGAATTCACAATTCAATTTTTCCAAAAGATAAAGCCCACTGTGGAAAACTAAGGTTCAAAGCAAACACCACTGAATATGTCAAAAGGATTCCCACTGACTCAACTTCCAGTGGGGATTCAGCTTTGAAAGTGCAGGGGGGCTGGCTTTGTAGGAGTGAGGTGATTTAGAGGAAATCTGAATTTATATTGTGTAGTGCGTCTGCCTCAGTGAATTCCAGTTCCTTAGAACTTGTAGCAGAACAGGTATTCCTCCTGTATCAATGCCAACAATTCAGGTCCCTCGATTTGTATGGAAGCCAAAAAAATTATCCCCAAGGTTCAACATTAATTTTGTGAGATGATGCATGCAGTGGAGACAGGGAGCCTTGCCAGATTCCAGCTTTGGTAGGGAATTAAGGGTATAAACCAGGGTAAAACTGCATTACTTACTAGTGGCAGTGGTTGTTTCAGGAGTTGAAGGGACTGATGCAGCAGGTGAACTTGTCGCTGTGAGAAGAGATGAAATTAAATATTGTCTGTGTTCTAATGACCCACATGAAATACAGTATACTGTTCCCCACAGCTGGAGAAATGACCAGAAATAAATACCTGGGGTTCCAGGTGTTGTAGGCACGGTCGTGACTTTCAAAGAGAAAACAAAAGCACACTTAAATCTCTGTTCCATTATTGTGTGGCCAAAGCCAGGGCTGTCAGGGGGGAGTGGAGCAGGATTTTACTCAAGCTGATGCTTGAAATTCTGCCCAATATACTGAAGTCATACGCACCTTCTGCTCCAGGAGTTGTGTCTTCTGCAGGGGCTGATCAGAGGCACGAGAGGGAACAAAAGTGCAGGTTAAAAACTGTTCCCCCAGTGCTGGGCAGGGGAGAGATACCCAAACCTCAGGAGACTTGCAGGTCTCAGCTGGGGGCTGGACAATGTTCCAGAGTGGGAGCAGCCTCAGTGGGGGGAAAATGCATCCCTGTGCTGCCTCTGAGCCTGGCACAGCTCTGGGAGCCCGGGGCTGTTTGCCAAACTCCACTTTGGGCTGCTGGGATAAAGTTTCTGGCATGCAGAGCCTGCCCAGTGCTGTGAGGGCTGTGGGTGCCTTGGTGGGCACTGAAGCTGGCAAATCCATCCCAGAGTGTGCAGGGATTGGGATGCAGCTCTGGGAAGTGCAGGAAGGCTGATTTTCTGGGAATGGGCTGACCAAGAGCAAATCTGGGTTTCTATTGATGTCTCTGTCCCTTCCCAGTGCTTTCAGGGCCAATGGTTTTCTGTTTCCCCTTTTGCTCCTTTATTTCTGGAAGCCAAAGGAAAGGCAGTTGGGATTATCTGGAATTCTAATCCCTGGGGTTGTTATCATGGGGACAGGGAGGCAGTCAATGCATGGTCAGAGTGTGGCATCAGCTAAACGTGTAAACCAGAGCAACACAGCATTACTTACTGGTGGTAGTGTCTGCTGGTGCAGCAGTGGGTGCTGCTGCTGTGAGAAAAAAAATAAAGAGATGAATTTAAACATTCTCAGCAAGTTAAAAGTATTTTTTTCCCCTGACACGCATAGCATGTAGGCCATAGTTACTCTTTATTACTTACTAGTGGTAATGTCTGCTGGTGCAGAACTAGGAGAAACTGTGAGAAAGAAAAGGTGAAATTAAATATTAAGTGCATATTTTTGGTCTGAAACTTGTAGCATGTAATCCAGAGTAAAACTGTATTACTTACTAGTGGTAACGTCTGCTGGTGAAGGACTAGGAGAGACTGTGAAAAGATAAAGTAAAATTAAATTTCATGTGAATTTTCACATTTTTTCCCCTAAAGACTGATA